GTAGAAATTATCTCCACTACTCTCCGCGTGGAGAAATTATCTGAAATAGGGGTTTCTGGAGCATTAGAATACGAGATGGAGCTGCTGGAATACATGCGGAGCTGTTCCAACACGTGGAGAAAATTGAGATTGTGCTTTTATTGAATTGTAAATTCCAATTATGAGAGAGGTTAAAAACCCACATAACATGAAACGTGAGGGTTTCATGGTGGTAGTATAAAAGACAAAAGGCTTGACAAAAAGAGTTACGCGTCTAGTGTTTATTTTGAGAGGCACACATGTGTGTGTGGCATCGTCCCACCATGTTGATGGTGGTTTCTCTATGAAGATTGCAGCCGTTGAGAAGACGGTGATGCACCAGTGCCGCTGGTTGGTTGTCAGGCTTACGTGCTTGATACCTATCTTCATAGTTTGTCCATGTAGAAAAGAGTGGTGGTATGCCATATAGCAATTGTAGGTTRCGGTCTTTTCTAATGGATTGATTCTAGACTAGGTCTCGGGGATGTAGGAAAACCAAACCTCGTGAAAAAATTCTATGTGTTCTTTATTTTATGCTCATACATACTCGTTACAAAAAYAAACATAGAGATCTAGCCACAAAACTGCTTTTTCAATTGGTATCAGAGCGGGACTCGATAGAAATCCGTTCTTATTTTTAGGTATAATCCTRAATTTGGTGCTGGTGGTTCAGATTGACGAACAAAGTATGAGATTAGGGTTAACGAAGAAGAAGATTGAAGTTTATTGGCTTGAAAACGAACATGAGATAGAGATCATTTTGCTTCTGTATATAAAGTCACAAATTTTTTGATTTTACTRCATTACTAAATCCACATCAAGCTTTACACTCATCGTAAAGAGGACGAAACCAGAAACCTAAGACTAAGTACTAAATATTAAATCTTTTTAAAAATGGAGAGTCAAGTCTACGAAGCTTATAGTGACAAAAAAAAATTTTGAAAGACAAATGAGAGAAACTAACTTAACACATACGCACATGGAATGTTAATTCTCGATGGCGAGAAAATCTGCCCGTCTCGAGAAAATATCGACGAAGTCAAACCAATTTTCCGAGATCTCTGACCCAAACCCACATCGTTGATTATTATCAAAACCAGAAGGTACACTCAATTTGAGTTTGATTCCCGAGAAATTCTTTAATCAGACAACAGAACATAAACACTAATATAACTACATGGAAAACAAATTTGCATTCTGAAACCATTATTTAAGGGGATCAACACAACTATCAGCGTTTCAACCAATCCAAAAGTGATTATTGAAAGTGAAACAATATCATAATGATTAGAATGCAAAATCTCAATTTCACGAAACTTATAAGAGAAAACTCATGGCAAGAGAAGGACACCTGAATTTCTTAACTCTTCAAAAAGTAAAATCATTATTGTCGTCRTTGCATGCTCCTCCACCAACGCTCACATCCATCTGCCGCTTCCTGTTTTAGATTCGACCGCAAAAGCAAGGGAAACGTTTAATCYATAACTTAATCTGCAATGGAGACAATGGAAAACCAGATAAATTGAGATTTTACCCAAAAAAAGAAATAAATCGGTGAGCAGATATTTGCTAAAATGAAGCATGGAGGTGGAAGGGAAAGAATTTATGTCTTTAATTTTAAGTAATTAATTGAAACGTAGCAGAGCAGCAGAGAGGAGAGGAAGAGTTTCGTACATTGAACTTGAAACCGTGGGGGAAAATAAAAAGAAACAAATCAAAGCCTAATTGCAGAAGTAAGGATGATTTCTTTTGAAGTTAATGACCAAACAGAATGCTTATGGACGTTTTCATGGCTTGAATCAACTGATATAAAACCTCTTTATGTCCTCTAGGAGACTCTGGTGAAGAAGCTAGAGACTCTCCATAAGTTGGTGAGAATTCAAACAAGGAAATAACCTTATTTTGTCTGAAATAGGACCTTGCACTTGTGAACTTGATTCCGAAACGAGTTGGGCTTTTCTCCTTGTTATATTTAGTGTTTTGGGCTCCCTGGACAGTGTACTTGATGATGCAAAAGAGGGTGGATCCATGCGCGTTTGGCTCAATGCGTTCTGATGCAGCAATTGGTGATTTTAGCTTGTTCTCTTTTGAGGTCCTCATCAAAGCCATACCAATCAAGGCTAATAATTCCGCGTTTTCTTGGAAAATACCGTCTCCGCGTTTTCTCGGAAGCGTGTCGGGAACCGCGTGGGTCTCACTTTCCCCAGCCAATAAAAATTAATACAGTACTGTATTATTTTGGTTACTAAGTAAATATCCCCCTATATAAACCCCCCTACCAGACGAAAACAAATTCACCAAAGCAGGAAAGAAGAAAATGGCGGCGCCTTATGTGTACGTTTACCCACAAGGCACGGACCCTTCGGCTCCTCGGCGTCCACAAGGAGTGATCGTTGATCCATGTTTATGTGTTCCGAACCCCGTGGATCTAGAGATCGAGCTGAAGTTCTCTGACCGGAGGAATATAACGGACCGTGAGTTCGTTATAAGGGACGTTGACGAAAACCTGTTGTTCAGGGTGAAGGAGCCGGAGTTTCGATTAACCGGCAAGAAAACCTTACTGGATTATTCTGGATTTCAAATCTTGACTTTGAGACCGGCGGTACATACTACGTATAGTCGGGCTTAATTACTAAGTTAAATTTATTGCAGTGGGTGGCCTAATTACTAAGTTAAATTTATTGCAGTGGGTGGCCTTTAATAGCAGGTGGCAAGTATTTAGAGGAGCGAGTAAAGAGGAGCGTGATCTGATGTACACGGTGCAGCTAACGGGGTTATGGGAATTTGATGTGTTTTTGGCTCACAATAAGGAAAAGAAGATATGCGATTTCAGAATCAAAGCAAACAGACGCCAGTTCGACCGCACTTGTGTCATCTTCGCTGGTGATTCTGACACCATTGTTGCCCAAGTAAACTCTCTTTCTCTCTCTTCACAATTGCAACACTTATTAAACAAAATTGGCCTTAAATACTCGGTTGTTTGGTGGTTAAATCGAATGGTTTG